AATTTATAGGAATTTTTAAGTTTGTTTAGAACTAATAATGTCCTTAGTTTTATAAGGTTAATTATTTTTTAATATTTCAACTAATTATTATTACATTATTTCTATTTTAACATAAATGTGTAAACTTTTATAACATTACGCGTTAAAATACTTGACAATTTTTTTAAAAAAAACTTTATTAACAACTAGTATATTATTAAAAAAAATATTTTTTTAGATATATTACATCTTTAAATTATCATATTTAAATGAATAGGTAAATTTATTTATATTTTTCAAAAAAAAAACATTTTAATATTAAAAAAAGGTCAACAAGCTTTCAAATTTGACTTTCTACTATATAGATTTTTTAACTTATGGTATATTAATTTTTTTGCATACTGTTTGTTTCTATTATTTTATGTTGAAAATGAAACTCTAAATTTCGAAGTATTTAATTTAGATTTAATATGAATATTTATATTTTTATTATACAGGATTCTCTTAAAATTTGGTAAATGATGAGAAATTTAAATAAATTTTTTATATGAGCAAATTAAGAAATTAAAAGCAGATATTACATAGAATCATTATGTTAATGCAAGTTCTTTTTTTATTTTAACTTCATTAATATTAAAACTGATATTAAAGATCAAATAAATGATAATAAAAATCTTAATAAATATTCTGAAAATAAAGAAGATGATGAAGAAAATAATGATGCAGCTAATATAGAAAAAGAATTTGGTAATTATTTACAAGGATGAGCAGAAATGTTAAAAGAAGAAACTCTTAAATTTCAAAATGAGAAAGATGAGAAGATGATGCAATTGATGAATTAAATGAAACAACAGTTAATGATATTATCCATCCTGCAATTGATCCTAATGCTAAATGGAAATTAGATTCTCTTTTTAAGGAGGTTTTTTAAGGAGTTAGAATTACCTTTGTAATAATAAATAAATAAATAACATTATCATAATATTGAATTATAATGAAATGATTTACTTTTTAATAATAAATAAATAAATAACATTATCATACTATTGAATTATAATAAAAATGGATTAACTATTAACTTTTAATAATAAATAAATAAATAATAACATTATTCATTGAATTATAATAAAAAAATAAATTTTTTAATACAATATATATAAATGTCCCAGGCGTCCCAGACATTAGCAAGTCTTTGTCCAAGGTCCCGGACTGTCCCAGACTGTCCTGTCCAAGGACATGTCTCGTCACTGCTTCCATCGGTAATTAACTACATGCAATTCGCATTGATTACTTAGCGTTAACCTTGTTTATTTGTTTAAAAAAATATATAAATTATTATAACAGTCTATAAATTTTATTCATCAAACATTCGATTCTTTAGCATAGGTGATTTATTGAAGACGAATTGTGAGATTTCGATATTAGGTTGAATTGAAGTAGATGCTTTAAATAGCTTTAACTCGTAAAACTGTCGAATTGCAGAAGACATTGATGACTTAAATTATATTAGAAACGTACTAGGAATTAATTTAAGATTTGCGGCAAAATAATTATATTTAAGTTTATTATTTCATTGTTTAGATAGGAACGCTAAGGATTATCATCCCTAAAAGTAAGGTCAAACTGTACATACAGTATCTGCTATATGGGAGGTTTTCTAGGAAAATGGGGCTCTGAGAATTTTTTATTAAATTTTTAATATTTATTGCATTTTAATCTAACATTATCTAAAATTAAAATGCAATAAAAGTTAAAATTTTAATAAAAAATTCTCAGAGCCCCATTTTCCTAGAAAACCTCTCATAGCCTATGTATTTTAACGAACCAACTATACAAAAATTATATATTTAAGATGTTTCCCTCCTCTCGTTGACTTATGCAATTCAGAAGATCTAAAAGTTCAACGTAGTAAATGTATCGTCATATCTACAGTTTAAGTCGATAATATAATTCTGAACTATCCTACATGAGGTAATACCTCATCGTTATTTGCTAGAAAATTATGGAGTCGGAATTTGTCCTAAAAAGATCCGAATGGATATCGATATATCCGGAATCTGTGCCAAATCATGAAAATCTCAAAGTAAAATTATCTGTAAACTATACTCTTGCAAGTTTACTTATCCTTTTTAGAAAATCCGGAATTTTTCATGATCGGAAATTTGTTTATGGATGATTAAAAATTCCGGATATGGATTTTTGTCCCAAAAATGTATTTTCCGGCAATTATTACTTTTTTGAGAAATTAGAATTTAAAATTTTTTCGTTTTCATTGTTTACAGCAAATTTTTAATATCATGTCATGTATTACTTTTTGAAAAGAAATTTTTATAATATTATACATTATCATATATTTAAGCATATACTGCTTATATAAAACCATAAAAAAAATTTTTGACGGAAGTTCTCGGAGGTATGTATGTTTTGCTAGTCCATGACCCATATTAGTGAGTAAATAAATTTATTTAAAAATTTTTTTTATTTATTCTTGGTTTATTTTAACTCGATTAAGAGTATTGAGAATCAAATATCAGAATTTTTTGAAAAAGTCATTTGATACGACGCGATTAACAAAAGACCAAAAAACTTATTTTTTTGATTTCGTAAATCTTAGGCACGATTATGTATCGTTCCTTAAGAACGATAAAAAAAATCATTCTAAAGATTTATCGTTTCAAAAGAACGATAAAAAAACTCGTTCTTTCAGAACAATGATATATCGTTTTGGGACAATTCTGTGAAAATGATTTGATTGATAATCTATCTATGCGGAATATTTTTTAAAAAAAATAATAAAAGTCCTTATAAAAATTAGCCATCCTTCGAGTTGATTTCTCATTTAATTAGAACAAGTTAGAATTTTTCGATCCAAAGTTTCTTTTGTTTAAATTGACATCACAAATGATGTAAGAATTAAACGTGCAATATTCTCAAGCTTACTTTCATCCATTGTGCATGTAAATGGGAATTTCAGAAAACATCAAACATAACTTGATACGAAACTGTTCAAGATGGATAAATAGCAGCTGCAACAGCTTGCGTCGAATAAAAATATTTGTGACCATTTTTTTTTTTAAAAAAAAATCATCATTGGTCTAGAATATATATTAAATCAATCATGTATAAGCAACGAAGATTAATTATTTGAATGTCACATTGGAAGAACTGGTTCTTACAAAGTACAGCAACAACAAAATTACAGTATTAAGATTTTAAGTTTTAAAGGAAATTGATTTTGCCATATCGATATGTATAAATTAATTGAAATCACCGCAGTTGTAAAACAGATATAGAATTAGTCTTGATTTTATCATGATATATATATATGAAAAAATTGGAATTTTTGAGATCTCATTGCATTTTAATCATTTTAATCTAAAAATATCATGTAATAAAAATCTTATGTACTGATAATAATTTTCCAGTCATTAGAGGTAAATATTTGATCACATGCAATATGAATCGGAATCAACATTCCGGGTAAATCTGAAGTTAGGTAGTTGTAAAAAAATTAATAGTGTACACAATTCCAAAATACTGTATACTGATTATCACCTGATATCTGATATTTATTTTTTATCCAAAATAGTATCAGTCGAAATGGGTAGATCTGATTGGTCATATATAATACAATAACTGCTCGAATACGTATTTGGTTATTTGATTTGAAACCTGTAATTTTAAACAAAACAGTTTTTTAACAAATGGTCATTATTTCTTGTCAACGGGTGCACATTTCAAATTCATTCTCATTGGCTGAAAATTTATTTTGTCAATTGGTGGTGCCACCAATTAAATGCGCATATAAACAAACCTTCGCACCTTTACCTAAAACATACCAATATAATAACAATAACCCTTGGAGCTCTGACTCCGATCATAGAATTTTTAAAACTAAAGCTTTCCAATTTAAGGTTGCAAGTGTTGATCAATTCATAACATAAAATAATAAAAATTTCGATAAAAATAAAAGGTTATAAATAGTACAGCTCTTTTTTCTTAAATAAAATAATAATTTACCGAGCACAAACCATTAAATAAATTTGATCACCAATCAAAACAAAATTAAAGGGTTTATAAAGGTAATTAATTCTTGTTTTGTATTAAATGTCCGTTTGTTTGCACGCCAATCATATTGTTTTCGACGCGATTCCTTCTAAAGAATACGAAAGTATAATTTGATAAGGTATTGACCAAATTTGGAATTTGAGTGATTTGAGTATTTTTAGTTTTTGAGAAAATTTAAAATTTATTTTTGGCACCTAGTATGGCCTAGAATGTTTTCATTGTCGAACCTTGGAATTGTGCTCAACATTATAAAAAAATTTAACTGGTGTCAACAAATAATTTTGATATTTAAATTGCACTCTTTCCACGCTGAAATAAAAAAAAGATACATATTTTTTTATATTTGACAAACCTTTTTATCTTGATCATTTCATTCGCTTGAAAAATAATGACTTGTAGCTAATTACGTAGAAATGATTGGCGCAGTTAAAACCGGTTTATAATAATTGAATTGTTTTATATTATTATTATTCAGAAGTTGGGTTCTAAGAAAGTTCCTGAAGGAACTCGTCAGTAAGATAGATTTTAATTACTTTGTTGTTTTTATTTTAAAAATTTGCATATTCCTTCGTCACAATTTTTTTTGATGGAATGTCTAAAATATTTACAACAAAAATAAATAAATTTTATTAATTTATTTATTTTTTCTCTTTAATTAATTTTACTTTAAATTTTAATTTTCCATTTTTCATCATTATTTTTTTGTAATATTATTGTTAGCTGCTCATTGGGTTAAAAACCGGATGGTACCATCAGTACTCGATCTTAGCTTTCGCGTTGAGCCTAAAATCTAATAAAATTTACTCTAGGGATAAACTTATAATTATTGTAGAAAATAAGGATCCTTACGCTCGTGAAATTAATTGTTGTGAATAATAATAACATTACGACAATCCTCCTCTCTTCACCCATAACCTTTGCCTCCGGCTTCATCTTCTCTTTATTCAAAAATAATGAATTTTAAACGACCCGAAGATCTCACCCTCCCTTCAATCCATTCTATCCCTCCACTTCCTCCATTTCCTTCGAAAATTCATCTCTCTGATCAAACTTTGGAGATTCCCCTAACCCTTCCTTCAATCCGTGCCCCTCTCATGAAAAACCAGCAAGCTCTTCCATCATTAAAATCTCTTGGTCTCATTGTGGGAAATTCGCCTTCTTCAATTTCCCAAACATATTCCCCAACCTATCCCTCAAATTTTCCCCAGACAATTCCTCAGCGTCAAGAATTTCGTTTTATTCATCATCGTCAACATCAAGATAATTTTCGACCATATTACCACAATCACCGTTTTCGACTTTCGCCTAAAAATCCTGACGTCTCCTCCTCAACCAAAGTAAAAAAAAAATTCTAAAAAAATTGCATAAACATAATATATATATTTCAATGGTCGAATAAAAAATCAAATTATTTCATAACTTCTGAATTTTATACATAGATTAATACAAAAAATTAAACAATAAATATACATACAGTACATATAATAAAAAACAAATACGAATTATTTACTATTGGGAAAAAATATGAATATTTCGCATTTTCTTGTACTTTGCAAATCCCTCCCCTGGTTGAATCTTAAATTGGTTCATTTGAAATTAAATTAATGTTATGCAAACGCTTAAAAGAAATTAAGTTTATTTAAAATATTTTAAAGTAATTTGTTCTATTTATCAGAGTATAATTTTATGTACTTCTTAACAAACAAAAATAAAAATATCACCTCCATAATAAATTCTCTCGATTAAAAAAAAATAGTCTTAATTGATTACGGAATCAGATTACGTTAAAATACAAGTTCTTAAAGTTTACCGTCGTTTAAGCTTAAAAATTCATACAAAATCTTAATTTTTTAAAAAAATTTTCTTACGTGGCTTATTCTTAAAATGTGAAACAAAACATAACATAGGAACGATTTATGTGACTTATAATTATGCGATAAATTGTTTACATATTAAATTTTTTTTTTTTTTTTTTTTTTTTTAAAAAAAAGGTAAAAAAGTAAGTAGTACCAGTATAAAAGGAGAAATTATTTACCAGTAATAAAAGGTAATGCGGATAAAATAAAATGTTTACGTATTGATGATTTAGGCATATTTAATGAGACGCGATTAAAAGAGAAAGATATTTATGATCATGGATTCAAAAGAGATGCAATAGAAATTCGTGAAGAAACGTTTTGATTGATAGAAGGAGGATCGGAGGTGTCGCTTGCAGTTTTTGCGATCTTTTTTGCAGTTCTTGCAGCTCTGTAATAACGTTTTTTCCTATTATACCAGACATTTCTAATCCTTTTGATTGGGTGAAGATGGCCGTATTTCATTCGTAAATCATTACGCAATTCTTTCCAACATACTTTATCACGAATTGCGGCTGATTTGTTATAATATGGAGCCATATTGATAATAAATCGTTTTTCATCAATGGTTAAGAAATTTCTATAGGATACTTTCAAAGTAAAATAAATAATAAAATAATCAATATATTTTCTTTATAATAAAAAAAAAGAAAAAGAAAAATTCCTTACTCACATTCAGGGTCAAGATAATCATTCCAACTAAATGAATTAAAAAATATTTGTTTGATAAAATAATAATAATAATAATAATAAATAAAATATAATAAAATAAATAATTAATTAAATTATATATAATTAAAACTTACTAATTAGAGAGTTGTTCAGGTGTATAGCTCGGCATTTCTTTACTAACCAAGTGAAAAAGTTTAGGACCATCTTCCAATTTGCCCATTAAGTGTAGAAAGCGATCATTGTCCTATGTATATACATATTATATACATATCACATATATAGTATTTTTAGTAAAGTAGTTTTTAAACTAATAATAATAATTAAGGATTCATAACATACTTCTTTACTAAATGTAGTCATTTTTTTTCGTGTAATAGTTTAAACAAAACAAATATATATATCAAATATATAAATATGTAAAAAATATAATTTAAAAGAATAAAAGAAAATTATAAATTTTTTGGAAGAACATAAGAAATCCATCGGAAGGAATTCGAAGGGTATTTATTAACTTGTATCCTAATTTACTATTTTTGGAACAGTTCTTCTAAGCTGGAGATCCGATGAATTAACCATTTGGAAATTAGCCAAGAAATTAAATTGAGATCTATTTTTTTTTTAATAGTATATTTTTGTACTCTATAAAAAAATACTATTGCAATGATTGATTAAAAATTGCCAAGTTTCGGAAATGGAAAGATCTACCATCATATACCCCGTGTTTGAGCTTCTAATTTTAACTATCCAGAAAGATTCTTGGAATTTGAACAGATGTTGATGTATTTATTATTTATTATTTGTAGTTGTTACTTGTATCTCATTAAATACTCGAATATATTTAATTTCGATATTGATTTGATTAAAAATTGGGATCTAGAATGGTTTGGTTGTAAATCTTATACATTTAATATTTTATCTATTTTATCAAGGTAAGAAGATATTTGACTGAGCAAGTTGCAGGTCAAGAGCTAGTTTTTTGAACAAACATTAATATTGATCCTGCAAGTTATTATATTTAATCATATTCACGTCCTAATTATATTTGGGACTTTCACCTCTCCAGGAAAATTGGTTTTACAAATTGCTAGAGAAATTCAAAAGATTTTTTATATATTATTATTGTTGATTATTACCATTATCAAAACAAAAATATCGCATTATGTTTAGCAACCATTTTACTCTTTGTTTCGCAATAGCCTTCATTGATTAATTGATTTTTTATATTACCATCGATTAATTTTATACAATACAAATTTTTTTATTAAATATTTGCACAAAGATCATCCCTATATTGAGTTAGCTGCAATTTAACATTTATTACACCAGTTTTCATTTTTATTATTTATTGACTTTTATCCCATTAGGTTCGGTTCATTTCCGTTAAATGATTTACTGACGATCATTTTTCCGACTGGGTCATTTACGACGAAAATCTATTATCGACATTAAAAAAAAAAAATTAATTTTATTTAAATCAATATAAGGCGACACAAAGTGGTAAAATTGGTTTACATATCCCGGCCGGGTCGGTAAATTGGGATTTCGAAAAATTTTTTTTTTTAATATAATATGTAAATTGACCAATAAAATACTCCAAATTAATATCACATGATTAACCGCATACATATTGACTAAACCGCATACATACAATAGTATAATTTCCTATTCAAATAAGTTTATTTAAAATGCACAACTACTATAACCAAATTAAAAAATTAAAAGAATGCTAAACTTTATGCTTTCCCTTGTCATTTCCACCTTGTTTCCACTTCAGATGTTTCTTTGAAACATTGGCATTTCCACTACAACCACTGCAACGTGGATGCTCACCTTTTGCTACACTAGTAACGCCCAAGCTTCCACATTCAATACAAACATCAGGGTAGATTCCAGTCGAATAATATGGTTTCTCAACTTGCGATGTCATGAGTCATTAACGAAGACTCTTCAGAGTATTTCATGAACAGAGTCCTCCTTTTCAGAAGATTCTTCTTCCTCATTATCTAAGTTTTCAGGTTTGTCATTAGAGTCGTCCTCTTCATCCATAATTTCTTGATCATCAGCTTCTTTATCATGGCTAATTTCATTATCTGTGTCATCATCCAATTGTTTTGGTGATATAGCTATTGCTAGATCACATGTGTTATGAAATGACTTACCGCAATTGTGTCCAAGAAACCTTGCAATATTATCTCTATTCTTTTTCAGCAAGTTTCTTTGCACTAAACAAAAGTCGCAGTTTCTCACATTCAACACAACTTACAGTAATACTAACGATTTTCACATGTATAACAGGAGGACAATATAGTATGTTTTATCTTATAATTTTCATTTTATCCTTTGATTTTGCATTCTTAAGCGAAGATCTATGATCTTCTGTTGATTGTGTGCTATACAAATCTTCAAAAGACTTGTAATGCATATCCTCACCAGGTACTGGATCTGAAAGATGATGTAGTTGTTCAAAATCCTCTGGCAAACAATAAGAAAGGAGGCAAATTGTGCTAGTTCACCACATTTTTTTATTATGAAAGAATAATGCCTTATAATAAAACAATGATCTAAAAATTGCTGCAAAAATGGTTTTAAACAAAGGTAGGATTGATTAAAATTTTTCATTTACTTATTCTCTGCTTTATATATTCTATGATACAATCTTTATTAGTTACACTATCATTTACAAATTGAATAGTTTCCCAAAATCTCTCCATTTTCGTTTCTGATGCTGTAGTAAATATTTCAAAAGGCTCATCTTTAAAAAACTGGTGATTAAATACACTATGAACCAAATTAATTAAAGCTTGAAGAGTTGCGCTTAAATCTCCTTTCAAGGTAGAATTTTTCTTAGCAACTTTGCGAATTTTATTCATTATATTACATTTACTCATTAATTTCTCCAATTTATTATTTATTTCAGTTCGCATCAAGCTAATACTTTGTAACCCTAAATTTAAAACTGACATAATACGTTCCATAGGATTTTTTTATAAATGCTGTGATGGAGTTTGAACAATAACAAAATAATCAAGATTTAATGCAAAAAAGAGGCAGATGTATAAAAGTAGAATCTGATCATATGTATAACAATGATCTGATCCTCCATCTGTATAAAGACATTATACAGGTTTTTTAGTAAGCTGCTCTTTAAGAAGCTTAGATAAAGTTCTATAGCATGTCTGAAAGGTGATAAAGGCTAAAATATTGAATCCTTTAATCTAATATGCACTTTTCCTATGTAAAAATAACCATTAATTAATTCAGGTATGTTACATATTATTGCTAATCTTGATATAATTCCAGTTTTGATGAAATCATACAAATATAATGTCTTTACTGACTACAACCTTCTTTCCTCTATCTACTATCCCTTAGATTGTCTAGCAGGCAAATTTGTCGGCGAAATTAAAAGTAATTGTTAATTTCTTTATAAAATATTAAATATTAATTTTAATAATATTATTACTATATAAAAAATATAATTTAATA